CTTCCCTCCCAGGGAGGGGTGGGTGGGGGGGCAAGGCTCCTGTACATAAAGCCATGGCAGGCAGGAGCAACATACATTCACATGACACCCTCCATATTGTCTGGTTTCCTCCAGAAAGGTGGGCACCAGCCACATGGCTCAGAAGCAGGGGATATGTCTGTTTGTAAACACAGCAACTGTCCATCACCACACGCTTCTGAGCCACAAGCATGTCTGTCTAGATGTCCACCTGGACTTGGCAACTCACCCACTGTGTATAACTTTCACAGACACCTAAGTATTACTATCCCCGTGTTACATCTGGGAAAGCTGACGTTCAGAGAGGTTGCCTAAGATTACACAACTCAAACCATAGAGGGCAATGGATGTTTGATAATTTTTGTGTCTTGGCCTCATCAAACTCATCCTCAAGTGGCACTCCATACCATCAGGTAGATAGATGGGTGATGGATGGATGGATGGATGGATGGATGGATGATGGATGGATGGATGGATGGATGGATGATAGATGGATGGAGAGATGGATGATGGATGGATGGATGCATGGAGGATGGATGGATGGATGATGGATGGATGGAGAGATGGATATGTGGATGGGTGGATGGATGATGGATGGATGGATATGTGGATGGATGATGGATGGATGGATGGATGGATGGATGGATGATGGATGGATGGAGAGATGGATATGTGGATAGATGGATGGATGGATGGATGATGGATGGATGGAGAGATGGATATGTGGATAGATGGATGGATAGATGGATGATGGATGATGGATGGATGGGTGTGTGGATGGATAATGGATGGATGGATGGATGGATGGATGGATGGATGGATGGAGGATGGATGGATATGTGGATGGATGATAGATGGATGACGAATGATGGATGGATGGAGAGATGGACATGTGGATGGATGGATGGATGGATGGATGGATGGATGGATGGATGGATGGATGTGTGGATGGATAATGGATGGATGGATGGATGGATGCATGGATGCATGGATGGATGGAGAGATGGATATGTGGATGGATGGATGGATGGATGATGGATGGATGGATGTGTGGATGGATAATGGATGGATGGATGGATGGATGGATGGATGGATGGATGATGGATGGATGGATATGTGGATGGATGATAGATGGATGACGAATGATGGATGGATGGAGAGATGGACATGTGGATGGATGGATGGATGGATGGATGGATGGATGGATGGATGGATGGATGGATATGTGGATGGATGGATGCATGGATGGATGGATGATGGATGTGTGGATGGATGGATGGATGGATGGATGGATGGATGGATGGATAGACGGATGGATGGATGGATGGATGGATGGAGAGATGGATATGTGGATGGATGGATGGATGATGGATGGATGGGTGAGTGGAGGATGGATAGGTGGATGGATGGATGTGTGGATGGATGAAGTGTGAGTGGATGGAGAAAGTGATGGGCAGTGATGTATGAATTATGGATGGATGAATGGATGGAGAGAGAGATGGATGCATTTATAGATCAATCCATCCATCCTGAGATAGCTATGACTGTCTCTTTTCTACTAACTGACTTCTGTCTCCCTGGCTCCCTTTCCTCCAGCTGTCCTGGCAGGGCATGTTTTTCAGACCCACTTCCCTCGCCCATAGCCCGAACTGCCCATCTCTGAATCTTGAAAGTACTGTCACTCCTTGGACCAATGATGGGCACAATGCAGGGAAACCAGTAGAAAGCCAGCCTATCAGAAGGGCCCTAGGCTGGACACAGTGGGTGGCAGCTCAAGTGTCTGGGTGGCTGTGAGGGCTTCGCAGGGCTCAGAGAAAAGATGGATGGTTGGGTCCAAATGCCTCTTCTGACCCACCTCCCCTCATCAGCCCAAAAGAAGCTCAGAATCCAGGCAGCCTGTCCCCAAATTCCACCAAGCCCGAAACTCACCTTCTTCCCTGAAGCTGGGCCCTATTGTAAAGGCCCCCCCACCCCCAACACATACCCTGGTCAGCTGTCCACAGTTCTGATGGAGCATGAGTCCTGCTCCAGACCCTGGGTGGGGCACCATTAAGGCCACACTGATAACCGAGACTCAGTCATGAGGTCAGTACCAAGTGACACACAGAGGTTCCAGTCCACACCACTCACTGAACAAAGGAGGAAGCTAAAGCTCAGAGAGGGCAAGGGACTTGCCTGAGGCCACACAGCAAGACAGTGGGCAGCAGGGACTTGAACCTTACCTGGCCTCCTGCCTCGGGAGTGATGAACAGTGGCCGTGTCAGCCTCCAGGAGGGCACGCCCGACAAGCTGGGGACTGCAAAGGTGTGAGGCCAGTCAGGAGGAGTGGCACAGCGATGTGAACGACAGGTTAGGACCTGGGCCAGGTGGGCCTTGCTGGGGGGGCCAGGACGCCGACCTCCCCACCTTGGATCTCGGGGAAGCGCTGGGTCCTCGTGGAAACCAGCCCCGCCTCCCCCACTTCTCAGGACTGGTGGGCTCGGCTATGCATTTGTATTCTGCGCAGTCCCGCTCACGCTGTCTTCCCAAAATGCTTCCTGTCTTGTCAGCCCAATTATCCGAGCACTGGGCATTTGCTAGCCGTGAATTTTTTGGTGGTAACAAGACCATGAGGCATTAATCAGCAGAGCACTAGAGGATGGCATATTGTTTTAACTTTCCATTTGCCGTGTGCATCCAACGCGACACGCTTCCCCATACAGATCCCACGTGGCAGTAAGTGAACATGGCATTCGGGACACAAAGAGGGACACGAACGGAAACCTCTGCTATTTGTGCTTCCGAGACTAATCTCCCTCCGAAAGGTCACGATTCTTTCTGGCTAGCACCCACCCACCCCGTTTAACAGGGAGCGAGCACTGCCTCCAAACCTCGT